CCCCCGCACCGACACAGTCCATACACCACCAAATGTGTAAACCCCGCCTGGGTCCTATTCAAAGTTAGTCAAAGAACCGACGTGTGGTTTTGCGTAAGAGAAGCCCAAAATAAGACCGGGAGAAACGCACAGGAGAGAAGAAGCAGTTAAGAGTCCCTGGGTGATTGTAGGATGATCGAGAGAAAACTCCAGCCTGGGAGCTGTGCCGTTGCCGACCCGGGTCACTTTTGGAGGGGCAGAGAAGGAAAATGCTTTTAATGTTGTACTCTGTTAATTTCTGTAGCCGTCAGCGGGCTGGAACAGTTGGCCTAAACACAGATGACCTTAAATAGAAAAACAGAAGGCCTGGATTAAAGGTTTAGTATTTTAAATCAATCGATTTGCAGTTTTTTTTTTTTATTATAAGTTATTTCAGTGCAGTACACAGCTAAGTGGAAAGTTCGAAGAACTGTTCTGTAAACTACCACCGGGATCACGATACAGACGCATATATATACCCGAAAATTTGGGGGGAAGTTTTTTTTTTTTTTTTGGTGAGTTGTTTTAAGAAAAATTCAGAAGAGACTTGGGAGAGCCGGAGACCCCACCCCCATTTGCGACGGTGGTGTTTCTTGAGCAGGGTGACCTTGTATGCCCGGACGTTTGCACCACCCGGACTGGAAAACGAGGTTACTTACCCGCTGCACCAGAAACCTCGATGCAGCGGCCAGGCTGTCCCGGTCCGGACTCCCCAAAGCCCCGGGCTGGGCAGGCTGCAAAACGGAGCCGAGGTAGGAAAACAAGTTAAAATACCATGCATAACATTTCCCGAAGTCCCTAAGGACTTTCGTTTTGGAGAGCAGCGGGGCACACTTTTCCGGGGATGTACCTTCATCTGGGCCTCAGCCGCTTTCCTCCTGCAGCTCTGTGCGCGCGGCTTTGTTTTGATGGAAAATTGGAATACAAAGTGGAAATATGGTGGCCTTCGCAGCGGTGGGGGTGAGGGGAGGTTGGAGTCCCGCGTGCTCAGTCTGGGTTCGGGCTTCTCTGCTGACCGGGGTGCCCGAAGCAGCAGGAGGGGAAAACTGCCGGGAGTGCCCGAGGCTCCGAGGCTCCGAGGCCAGGCGTCCGGGAATGGGGAAGCCACCGGGCTTGGTGGTGCTTGGTTTTGCTGCAAGGAAACGGGAGTAGGGAAGAGGGGCTGCGACAGAGTGCTTGGCTAGAGAGAGCTCCCTGCCCCCGAACGAAGCCTGCTGCCCAGACACCTCACCACCACCACCGCCCCCCCGCCCCACCTAGGCCCAGGCACTGTTTTGGGTGGGGCAGTGGGAGCCCAGTTGTGCCTCTGGACACCGCCTTCCAGGCGCCATCTGGCCACATGCTCCCCAAGCTATGGGGTTCCCGGGCG